AATTTACACACAGGAAGTTAATGTAATAAAAAAAGACAACAAATTACTTACACCTAAATAATTTACACACTGGAAGTTAATGTAATAAAAAAGACAACAAATTACTTACACCTAAATAATTTACACACAGGAAGTTAATGTAATAAAAAATACTTACACCTAAATAATTTACACACAGGAAGTTAATGTAATAAAAAGGACATCAAATTACTTACACCTAAATAATTTACACACAGGAAGTTAATATAATAAAAAAGACAACAAAATACTTACACCTAAATAATTAACACAGAGGAAGTTAATGTAATCGACTTAGTTGGTTTAACTTATACCAACTGTATACAATAAAAGTAATGTTCAGGAAGAACGAAAGTGTTAAGAGGGATAAAGAGCGTCACAGAATTCAGAAATCACTCGTAACAGATAAGTCTAATTGTCGTTAATATTTATTTTACGATATATTGCTAATTGATATTAGTGACTATTATCATTGTTTTATATATGTGTATATTTATAATTTTAATGTGTTATTATTGAATTTTAATGCTTTAAAATACAATTGTAATGTAAGTTGCATATGAATTAATTTTCCGTTCTCCATTGATTGATGAAAATAAAAACATGAAATTTGTTCATAAAAATTCTTAGCAAGTGTTATATCGCTATTGACTGGGCCATAAATGTGCCAAATAGAATACCCTGTTTTTCGTATATTTGGTTGAATATTTCTATTAGTTTACCCAGACTTTTATTCTAACTTGCATTTCAAATTGTAAAATTAATCTTCGTCTATATCCACTTTTTGAAATTACTTCTAGATAAAGATGAACGGCCACCTGGCGGTAAACCCAAACCTCCCCCTAAACCTACCTCTCTACTTACCACGCCAGCGGAGCTCAGGCGTTACGAAATTCCTAAAGGTAGATATTGATTCAGTCTTGATGCTCTAGGTCTATCTTTTCTTTCTATATGCATTCTCTTAAATTATGGACTTTCTATTGGTTTATTTTAGTAATGTTCAAATGACTTACAGCAGGGTGATAAGTTATTAATGAAACAAAGTAAAGATGAACAGCCACAGTTTCCCCTAGGAGGCGATGTTTTCCCTATCGATTACCACTCTTTATAGCCCAAGTTGAAAGTGATTTTGAGCAACCGGTCACAGAAATGGTCTTCAATATCGACACTTCTCCTAGACGAGCACTTGTTATTTTTAAGCCTTGCATATTTTCGTCCTTGTCCAGTGTCTTGTAGTCTAACAGGGAGTCCTAAATATATAAGTTATCATAAAAAGAACCTCCCATTTAGCAAGAATAACAGATCTTGATCATACGTCCTTTGTCATTGATTTATTGACCAGGATCTTTGCCTACTTCCGTTTTAAGAAATGACAAACCATTCATAATCATCCTTTGTCCAGGCCCGGCGTGACCAGGTGGTTAGGGCCCCGGCATGGCCAGGTGGCTAGGGTGCTCGACTCGCAATCTGAGGGTCGCGGGTTCGAATTCCCGTCCCACCAAACATGCTCGCCCCTTTCAGCCATGGGGGCGATATAATGTGATAGTCAATCCCACTATTCGTTGGTAAAAGAGTAGCCCAAGAGTTGGCGGTGGGTGGTGATGACTAGCTGCCTTCCCTCTAGTCTAAATTAGGGACGGCTAGCGCAGAAAGCCCTCGAAACAAACCAAACCATCCTTTGTCTCCATCTTCCTATAGCGCTATTTACAGGTATTCACCTGAAGTCAAATGTTAAACTGGTCCTTTGGAACCCTTCAGTAATTCCTCTTCCAACCGAATTTTAAGCCCTGGTTATGCCACTACTGTATGGTTATATTACTATACTACTTTATCGTTTGAAAAGTGGGCGGCTGACCAGTGTTCCGAATATCTTTATATATTTTAGCAAACAATACTGATTCGAAGCTCTATCAGAATGAAACCCCTCGAGTTTTTTTACGTATCGTAATCATTTATTGGCCAGCTTTTGTATCAGGTTTTCCTTTTATAACTCACATGTTTCTGGTCATTTTGGTACTGAATTCCTTTCCTTTACTGTATTCAAAGCTTCAGTTTTCCTCGGAATGTAGTCAATATCAATCCTTATATTTACAATACTAATTATTGATTCTGCTCTAAAACGAGGCCTAATAATAACAAATGTTTGAATAAACAAACTATGTACGAATTATATTGAAAATGTTCAAGACACTTAACAAAAGTTATAATACTCTCATAACTTCTTTACAGGACGAGTGTAAAAAAAACCAACAAAAACATGAACATTCAATTCAAAGTAAAAGGAGCGTGTAAAGGTACTCTTTCCAAATCCAACACAACGATATCCTGAAGTTTCACACAAACCAACAATCAGTCAAGATCCTTAACCAACACAAATTAGGCCTACTCGAAGCAGGAGATATAAATGATGTCGAAGTAATGCCAATATCACGTAATCCTCGTTGAACGGTTGACATTTGGTGAAACACTTAACTCTCTCAACTTCTGTCATTCTTGGTCGAGTTCAGAACAAGATCTTGTTGTCCAGTTTGAATTTCTTTAGAGTTAACTTAGCAGGAATTGTCACATAACTACTTATCTTCAAGTTCTGCTATAAAAATGATCTTCACTGTTACGATAAATTCTTCCATTTTATGTGAAATCACGTACTACTGTCGTTTATCCTCACACAAAAAGTTTAGATTCGCCAATATAGGTGGTTTTACAGTCACCGCAATTGTGTTTGTAAACCACCCATAAACGTAAGGGAATAATAAGAAGGTCTATATTTTGAAGGAAGTGGACGTAAATGTGTAGTAAGAAGATCTTTATTTTGATGGAAGTGGTCGTAAATGAGTAGTAAGAAGGTCTTTATTTTGACAAAAGTGGACGTAAATGTGTAGTAAGAAGGTCTTTATTTTGACAAAAGTGGACGTAAATGTGTAGTAAGAAGGTCTTTATTTTGAAGGAAGTGGACGTAAATGTGTAGTAAGAAGGTCTTTATTTTGAAGGAAGTGGTCGTAAATGAGTAGTAAGAAGGTCTTTATTTTGAAGGAAGTGGACGTAAAGGAGTAATAAGAAGGTCTTTATTTTGAAAGAGGTAGACGTAAATGGGTAGTGAGAAGGTTTTTATTTTGAAGGAAGTGGGCGTAAAGGACTAGTAAGAAGGTCTTTATTTTGAAGGAAGTTGTGAATACTGAAGGAAGACAGCTGGTTCTTATCAAGTCTCCTTATGTTAAATTACTAACTTTATTTGATGTTTATGTGTCGTTTACTAATAACTTTTGAGATATGCACAATTACGCTGTATCACTTTTTTTGTGTATATGATTATAAATCACAGATGATGGGATTATTTTGTTCTGAAACGCCCGAAGATTAATAAATATATTTTTAATGTTTATTAATAAGATTCCATTTTCCACCAAATGAATCAATTTCATAACTCAATACGAGAACGTTTCGACTTCCTTCAAAATATAGATCTTCTTATTATTCCCTTACGTTTATGGGTGGTTTACAAACACAATTGCGGTGACTGTAAAACCACCTATATTGGCGAATCTAAACATCAATTAAAATTAAAAATCCGCGCCTACGAACATATTGGAGTGTCATTGTGAAGTAAGCTTAATTATTGTCAGTGACCTCCCAGCTTTAAATAACACAGCTGGCTCTTACCATTTCTCCTGATTTGAAATTACACGTTCTATTATATATATATAATATGTACAATTGTGTTACCTATTTTGCTAAATAATGTTTTATGTATATGATTAGTTATGGATGTCTTCAACATTCCACATCTGTCAGTTTTATGTTTTAAATAATATTTATGGTTTGATGCACAAAAAGTCAGATTCTATAGAAGTGCAGTAATTCATTATTTAACCAGTTTTTCTTTAGTGAATAATTGTTTGTCTATGATTTTTTTTAATGTGCTGTAAATCTACCGGTTTTAATTACTCCACCTTTACAGAAAATAATAGACACGAGTACGACTTTAATTTTAAGTTTCACTAACTTCGAAGCATCAAACGGATCAACAAATATTTAGTTTGCAAGTTATCTGTTAGAATTTTGACAATTATACTTCTGAAGATTAATTTTAAAACTTTTCTAACGCATTTGATTTGCATAACTGGATTAATGTACTTAAGGTTAATAGAGAGAACGTTCCTGACCTTGACGAGGTACTTACAATTACAGAATCAATATATATATCAATATATATAAATTGAAACATTAAGTTTCAATTATTTAGAACGGGACAGATCAGTTAGTAGTTTGGAGTAAGTGAAATGGAAGGGGAAGAGATACCTAGAGGTGTAATTAATAAAAATCGATATTTTGAACTTCATCTACTATGACTTTTAGAATCTGTAGTCCAATAGTATACTTTATCTACTCTTACGCGCTTTTAAGGTTTTACTCGTACTTCAGATATGATGGTAAGCCACATAGACTATTAATTTTGCAGGACCCGGACTTAGCCCCGAGCTCTGTTCGAAGCTCCGCTACCTCAAGCGACAAACCCGAGATCTACAGGCCGAAGTCCGCAGCCTGCGCAGGATGGCCCAGAGTCAAGCCGAGTCAGCTCGAGAGAGTGTTAAAGAAATATGCTTTAAGCTTAAGGTACATTACAGGAAAACGTGTAATAATATATCAGGATAAAACAATGCCTTTGATTTAAATGTAAAGTTTTCTTTATAGGGGGGAATATTTACAATGATTGCGGGTATATTAGTCAACAGGGTATTTTGTTACCAACAATCGAAAAATAAAAATATAGCTTGCTGGACTTTAATCTAATACAAAATAATTATATATATATTGTTTACTGACCATGATGAAGACTGGTCCACTAGTCTACACCGCTAGAGTTTTATCGTTTTTTGATTTATATATGATGTGAGAAACTTGGAAGAAAAGGATATTATAAAGTTGAGTATTTTATTAGATATTGCCGTGTACCCTAACACGCATTCAATTCATTACTTACGTTATGATGAATCGAACCAGTTTCATCAGATTTGTGATTTATTTGTTTTTAATCATCAGATGCTTGAATAAGCTGGACATCATGGCAGCGTCAACTAATCAGAACTTTCCACGTCAGACCTTTAAGGTCCAATAGCAATCAGTATTTACACCCGTTGTCCGCTGTGTTGGAAGATTGAGTATTTTATTAGATATTGCCGTGTACCCTAACACGCATTCAATTCATTACTTACGTTATGATGAATTGAACCAGTTTCATCAGATTTGTGATTTATTTGTTTTTAATCATCAGATGCTTGAATAAGCTGGACATCATGGCAGCGTCAACTAATCAGAACTTTCCACGTCAGACCCTTAAGGTCCAATAGCAATCAGTATTTGCACCTGTTGTCCGCTGTGTTGGAAGATTGTTTTGGACTAAAAGAAAGGAACACTTTTAATCTCGGTAGAAGATGCTACAGACTATACAAAAGCGATTGACTCTGGTCAAGTTGTATTGAAAATTATACATTTTCAATGGCTTCTTAAAGAGCAAGCTATTAGTTAAAATATCAAACAGATCGAAAATAATAATAGGTAAAAACTTACGTATAAGATATTTTCATCAGACCATTAATTGTGTTTTGAATTTCATCATCCCATGAATTGTATTTTGTTTTTTAATTGAAAAAGTATTTTTCTTAATTACGTTCAGAAATGAAATGCATGTAATGATATGATAGATAACCTTTATTCTAATCCAGAAAATAGTAAAACATAATAATACATAAACACTTAAGTATAAATTGTTGTTTTCATCAGACCATTAATTGTGTTTCATTATCTCATGTATTGTATTTTATGTTATATTACCCCTTTTATTGTGTATTGTGTTTTATTATCCCATGTATTAGATTTTTACATTATCTCATGTATTGTGTTTTATTATCCCATGTATTAGATTTTTTCATTATCTCATGTATTTTTTTATTATCCCATGTATTAGATTTTTTTCATTATCCCATGTATTAGATTTTTTCATTATCCCACGTATTGTGTTTTATTATCCCATGTATTATATTTTTTTCATTATCCCACGTAATGTATTTTTTCATTATCCCACGTATTAGATTTTTTCATTATCTCATGTATTGTGCTTTATTATCCCATGTATTAGATTTTTTCATTATCCCATGTATTAGATTTTTTCATTATCTCATGTATTGTGCTTTATTATCCCATGTATTAGATTTTTTCATTATC